TTGTCGTTACGAAGAAAATAGGAGAATGAACTGTAGGTCTTGACTTACCAGCGCAAAATTTCCTTGGCTAAGCAAGAGAGCGAAGTGACTTTTGCACCATTTTGCAACCTTCCTTGCCATGGTCGTTAAGTGAATCACTGCAGTTGTTAAGCGAGTAACATGGTTGTTAAGTGAACCCGGCTTTCCCTGTGGACTTTGCTTGTCAGAAGGTCGCAAATCACGCCCTCAGGGATGCTGCAACGGTCATAACTCTGAGTCAGTTGCCAAACAGCTGAATTTGGACCATGTCACTGCGGGGATGTTGCAACGGTCGTAAGTGTGAAAAACCACCGTAAGTCACTTTTTTCAGTGCTGCTTGGTCACTAAATGAACTGTTGTAAGTTGAGACACCCCAAGGATCATTAATTAGTCCAATCCTATGTATACAGATCATCCTCGACTTAAAGCTATCTGTTTAGTGACCGTTCAAACTTACAATGGCACTGAAAATAAAAGGGACTGCTTTTCACATTTATGACCATTGCAGCTTTGCCACACGATCCAAATTTGGGCATTTGGCAACTAACATGGATGTGCAAATAAGCTTCTGAAGTTTGATCACGTCACAGCAGGGAGGCTACAACGGTCGTAAGTGTGAAAAATGGTGCTACATCACTTTTTTCAATGCCATCATAACTTCGAACAGTCACTGAACAAATGGTTATAAGTCAGTGGTGGGATTCAAAATTTTTTACTGCTGGCAGGGGAAGGATACTGCAAAATCCCCCTTCCCTCCCCACCCCACTAACCTGCTTTCCAGCTCCATTCTCCTGTACAGGGCAACCAAAAGAGACCCAGCCAATCAGCTGGGACTCAATGGGAGGCAGAGAAGAGATGGGATTGGTGGGGCCAGTCAGAGGTGGGATTTGCCGGTTCTCTGAACTACTCAAAATGTCTGCTACTGGTTCTTCAGAACTGGTCAGAACCAGCTGAATACCATCTCTGTTATAAGTCTGGAGCAAGGGTCTTCAAATTTCGCAAGTTTTGAGACTTGTGGGCTTCAACTCCCAGAATTCCCGAGCTAACATGATCAAGAGGAGGAATTCTGGGAGTTGAAGTCCACAAGTTTAAAAAGCTGTCAAGTTTGAAGGCCCCTGGTCTAGCATGGGAGGTCTTCAACGTTGGCCGTTTTAAGACTTGTGGACTTCAACTCCCAGAATTCCCGAGCTAACATGAC